ATAAATGACAGATCCAAAGTGTCCTGGAGTGTTTGGGAGAAGGTAGAGAAGATGAAGCAAACTTGCTATTGTCTGAATTATTTTTGAGTTTCTTCTTGTGGATTCACACTTTCCTATATTTGAAATAAAAGTGTTTTAAAACATTTAAATGCTTGATGCAAATTCTTTACAAAATGTTCCCCAATGATAATTAACTGTATGCAACTTTATTTAAACAAGAAATCACTGAATTACTTTTCCACTTGGTGAATCCTTTTGTTTTATAGAGAAGGTTGCACTGTTTCACAGAGCCATATACTCATCTGGAATGTGTTGACACAATGTAGTTGGCATTAATTGAACGATGCTACCTGCTTGTTAATTGAGACAGTTAGCTGAAAATCTGCCCCAAAATTCAGTGACAGAAGTCGACTGTAGATAGAAAAGAATGTGAGAATATTGAGCTGGAGAGTCATCACAGAAGGTGGAGAATGGAACTGAGTGCTGATTCCTGAGTCTGTATGAAAATCATGGTGGAAGTAAAGGGCTGGAGGGTTTTAAATGTCTGTAGCAAATCCCATGTGCTTATAGCTCTCTTGTTAGTTCTGCTATCAGTCTTTTGGGTTAGCTGCTGCTGTAGAGAGCTATGCCATCATTTTTATCCTCATGTATCCCTTATACTTAACACAGGATTTTCACTTTTGAGTGTCAGATTAGAGCTCATTCAGCTGTAATCAGTAGCCAGTCTTAGGACAGTCTTGTCTGTCAAGATTTCCAGGGATATCAGTTGAGATTTATTTTAGTTTTCTAAAGCTATTTTATTTTTTTCAAATTATATTATGTGGAGTATTTAAATGCACTATGATTGTACATTATTGAAGTGTTGCTTTGTCACATTTGGGAGAAGTATTTATCTTGCTCTTCATAATTGGCCGTCCTTGATGTTCAAGTATGTTAACCCCTGTTGTTTTTCTAATGTAGCTGTTTCTACTTTAAAAGCAAAACAAAACACAACTAGTATACAACATTTGATTTTTCTATAAGAAGTTACTCAAGTTTTGCATCTATATTTGAGCTCCTTACTTTGAAATCTGGCAAGTGAAGCACAGAACAATAATGCTTTGGGGCTGGGCCCAGTTTCCTTCGTCTGTATAGGCCTTTTGCCATCAGTTGTGGCTGGACAGAATGTGAGGGTCAGAAGTTCTTGTCAGTAGCTTGTGCTGTCTTACCTGGGTCAAACAGCTCTGCAGCTGCAGTAGCCTGGCACTACTGCAGGTGCAGGAAAACATTCACCACTGGAGGGATATGATTGTTTCCTGGAAAAGAAACTAGGATCATTGCTGTTAATGTTCCTTCATTGTGAAAGGGCTGTGTCGCTGTAAGAACACATTGGTGACAGCAGGCTCAGACTAAATGAAGTTTTAAGGAAATTTTAGGTTTAGGTCCACAGAGAGTTGCTTTTATGGGTAGAATTAAGGTTGCTGTGGCTCCTTAATTATGCATGTCCCTAACATAGTTATTCACATTTCTCTATTTAACAGTTTTACTGTAGTTTGGGTGTTTATGATGTTTGTGGTTCTACTTTGGTGTATGAAACTGCATTCAGTGTGGATTTTGATTCAATGTAGTTTTACAGACAGGCAAGGCTTTTCTTTACAGTGTTTAAATAGTTTTGTACTTTTAAATACTCAATCTTTGTATTAGGCTGAGATTTTAAATTGACTATGTATTGAAAACATAGCTACATTTTGCTGAAGAACAAGCTTTGGCAAGCTTAATTTAACACAGTGAATCTGTTAAAGCTTTCCATCCTCACAGAATCTTTTCTTCTTTTAGAGAGGTGACACTGGGGAGGAAAGAAGTGTCAATTTTTGCACAAGAAACAAAGAGCTGAAGTTGTAACGAGACTTGAATGCTGAGGGCTTCCAGGTGTTCCAGTTAGAAGCTGCATTGTTGAAAGCTCCTGCAGAGTAGTTTCTTAAACTGTAAAGGCATTTAATTGTGCTGCTTAATGAGAATTTTCATGTCCGTAAAGATTTATTTTAAGGACATACATAAAAATGCCACAGTCCTGCGAGCTAGCAAGTTGGTAGGTGGTTCATGCTTAAACCTGTGAGCTCTGTGAAGAAGACATTGTGTTACTACTTGTTGATATTTTTTATCTGGTAGATAGTCTGAGGCAAAAGATGCATTATAAATTGTGCTCTACACAATGATCGATCAAATAGAATTAGTTATACCTGTAGCTAGTAATTCAGTCATGGAATTAGAACCTTTGTGAGGTTTATGGTACCTGGATTTGTTTTCCTTATTTTGTGTAAATCTGGCTGTCCTAAGTACAATGCATCATTGTTCACAAACGAGTCTGCAGTTTAAAGTATGTCTGATGGGAAAGCACATCAGCACTTGACCTCTGGCAATATTTTGAGTGGAGGGATGGACTGCTGCTTAAAAATCCTCTGAAAAGAGTTTTCGTTTTAAGCACATAATTTCATTGAAAGATCTAGAACATGTCTGCCTAAGGGTGAAGACTCATCCTTTGGATAGACCAGAAAAGAGTGAATACATCCTAAAGAGCAATGTTTAATACTGATCTCCAAGTTTGCAGGGAAAAATCAAGGTGGTATTAAAATTAACTACATTTGCAGCATTTAAGGGAGTTAAATTTGAATCTTTCTCTAGTTTATAATGAGAATCTAGTAATTAACAGTAAACGAATGGCATGGAATTTATTATTTTGCACAGTTTAACATGGGGTGGAGTTAGCAAAACATCATCACGTTTAGCTAATTAAACTGGCCATCAGCTCTAGATCTTTGTATAACAATAGAAAAACTGTAATCCCAGGCATTCCAGCTAGCTGTTAGTAGTATGGCAAGCTGGTCAAAATAAGTGTATTTTTTTTGTGCAGAACAGGAAGCATGCCACTAGCTAATAGTACTGTGGTACAACGTGTCTTACATTAGTTACATAAAAAGTTTTAGTTAAATACACTTAAAGTGGAATTAGAAACAGTGGAAATCGTCACATGTGCTGTAGCTGAATTCATGTACATGCAGTGAATTACCCGAGTAATTAAAGTTGCTCAATGACAATGAATAGCTTTAAAAGAAATACAAGGAAATTGCTTGGACTTAAATACCATAAGTATGTAATTGCAGAAAGTGGTATAAATTCGTCTTAGTGTCTGTTGTTTCCATAATGTAAGTTATATCTTGTGCTGTAACTGAATTTTGTTGCTCCAGGGTGTTTTGGAAGTGAGACAGGGGAATAGGCTTTTTTGGTAAACAATTTTTAGAAAGAAAACATGAACAATGTCAGAAAACTGAAAACATATACCTCCTCTCTTTCACTTCTTCATGTGCTCAGATTGCTGGGCATTTCAGTTGGATCCTTCATTTTCTAGTTTAAGCTTGTCTAATTGGAACTCATTAAAGATATGTTATGCCTCTTTCAGCTAGATGGAAATTTCTGTCATCGTTACAGTTCTCCATGGAGATGAGCACCCAGTGATACTCTTGAATACACCAGAACTACGTAGTAGCTCACCCTGATAGAAACCCAGTTTCTGGCTCAGTTCTCTGCACTTTATGTGCATTCTGCACTTCCAAGAACTCATCATCTCCTGGTGTAGGTTCTCACCGATTTTTTCCAATTAAATGAAGTTTACCTTGGACTGACTTCTGTACAGCTTTTCATTAATTAATTGGACAGTGAAACAGAGTATGCTCACAAAGCTTGCAGATGATGCCAAGGTAGAAAAAGCTGCAGATCTTGGTGGACAGTTTCATAATTTGAGCTGATCTCATTAAATTGCAGTAGAGTTCCAAATTAACTAACTGAAATTAGTCTGAAGTCTCCTTTTAGGAAGGAGAAATTAAGTGCTCAAATGCAGAATGGGAAAGAAATTATTAACAGTATTGCATAAAAAGGTTGTGTACAGTTGCTTAGAAATTCACTGTGAAACTTTGTTCTATGGATGAAAGAAAAAACCCGGGGATATAGATTCATCTTCCACTTTAATTGCAGCAAAGTGTGAACTGTCTGTCTGTTTGTTTCAGATTTGGAAAGAATGTGCTTGCAGATTAAGTCATATCAGTGAGTTATGCAAAAGGGAATTTTTCATGGATCATTTTTTCTCTCTTCTGCGACCTGTTTAACCCCATGATACTGTAACCAATATATTGAAGCTGCATGATATCTGATTGATTATTCATAATGAGAACAATTGTGAAAAAGTTGTCCTTCATATATCAGTTGATAATGGGACAAAAAACCAAGCTGATTTTGCACAGTTAATTTAAGCAAGGATTTTGAAATGTGTGGGTAATAAAACATACATGTGGATTACAGATTTTCTTAGGTAGAATCTCATTTTCTAAGGATGAACATGACAACCCCGTCCTGTGTGTGGTTTAATACTTGGTCATTAACTTCTGGTCCCCAGTTTTGCACAGCAGTGTTCTACTGATGGGGTGGTGTTTGGATCAGAAAAGCAGTAGTAACCTCCATATTATTTTGATACCCCATCAACACATTCGTTTGGGTGGTTCTCCTGCTGCAGGTGGTCTTCAGATTGATGAATCAAAGGTTAACTGTGCATCTAAAAAGCCCAGAGCTCAATTTTAGAATACTCTATTAATTTCAGTGTGATATTGCCGTGTATAATAGTTCTGCATTCTCATCGTATGGCCTATTCTTCATAGGTAAGGAGTAAGTATAATCCTGCTCTTCTAACCACTGAAGTCAGCAAGGCAGGGTAATCGAGTCTGCTTTTTGAAGATCCCAGATCTGTTTTGCACAAAATACATACAATTATTGCCCCAAAACCTCCTTCAGTTGAGGTGTCTACCTTTTTTCACATGTGCTCTTAAAAGCTGGGGCCAGGTGACTGTCAAACAGGCAGTCAGACTGCAGGTAGCGTTAGTGTACTTAAGTGTCTGGCTTACCTATTCAGGTAAATTTGCAGCTATGTTTTGTAACTGGGATGTATTTATGACTAGGAAAATATTTTGTCATAGGTTTTGAAACTGCCAAGTCTCTCGCACTGCATGGGGCATATGTTATCCTGGCCTGCAGAAATATGTCAAGAGGCAATGATGCTGTACAACGTATTCTCCTGGAATGGGTAAGTGAATGTATATAGTGTCCAGCAGTAAGCTGTGTTTTATAAGACATGAAGTCTTTTGTGTAGTGAAAGAGATATTACATTGCCATTCAAGAATCTAAGGAAGAAGGCATTTTTCTTATTTTATAGTAGCGTGTTCAGTCAGTGGTATATCAATGATAAAGATTTTTCATTTTGTATGGCCATATTGGACTGTAAGGCTTCACATGTTGTTATCCATGCTACATACAGATGCTTCGTAAAGGTGGAAATGCTTGAAAGAACCACTGAGGCATGGTTCATAGTTCTTAGGGCAGGAATTTCCAGAAACAAATTGTGTAACTAACTGAAGGAGAATGTACACAGTCAGATACCAAAGACAGCCACTGGCTGCCCATAGGTATCACACTATGGCAGATTTCAGATCATTCTTAGACTTTTAAAAACCAAGGGTGTTTACCTCCTTTCCTAGTCCATCAGGCCCAACAGCACTGCCATGCGGTCTGCCTCAACATTATTTTTCCCTTCCCATTTCTTATCTTTCATTTATCTTTCAATTTTTTATGTAAATAATAGCTCTTCAGTACTGTCTATTCCTTTGTTTCTTTGACTTCTAACTTCCCCTTCTTTTTTGAGGGGGGAGAATCTTCTAATGCCCTTATTAAAAATTATTCAGTGCTCTAAATTTATTCCTCCCACATTTACTTACTAGTAAGATTGCAGGCTACTTTTGTCTGAGCTTGCTATGACTGCTGACTTCCAGGATATGATCTGTTGACACAGTCCTCTACACTTTACTTGGATAATAAATTGAAGGGTCAGATTCTCAGAATTTTATTTCTTTCCTGCTAAAATTAGTGATGAGTATTTTAGCTTTATTTCCTAAGCTCTGAAAATACTTCATCTGTTTTTGGATGATATGGGAGAGCACTCTGTAGTATTAGAATTTACACATAAGTAGTCTACAGATAATTATAATATTTATTAGGACAAAACAAGCAGCACTTACTTACAAGTAACTATTGCCAAAGAAGTGATGCGTGTAATATTGCTAATTTTTGTAACCACAAGTTTTTTCGATAAAGTATTTGAATTTAGGCCTCCTTCTCTTGCATAGATGATATTAATGATTTACATTAAAGAATTGAGAGGAGAAAATATCTTCCTTTCCCCTTCAATACTTCACATAAAAGCTTTATTTTTTTTTTTTTTTTTAATTTCAGTAGTGTGGGGTTCCAAGAGAATTCCAACAGCGGCAAGCATAGTGTGTGTTGCTTAAACATCATCTATCTATCTGTGTGATATCTGGTGATATTCTGTCTTTTGAATTTAGTAGCCGCAGTCCAGCTAAGTATGGCTGTAGAGAATGTTTTAAATGTAACTAAAATAAAGCTGGTACTGAGTACCTTTTATTTGGAAAAAACCCAACCCATTACCTCCTGAATTCTAAGCATATGTCTGAGCACTTAGAAGGCATAGGAGTTCAGGAGTACTTGTTTTAATGCCTATATTATCTCACCAAAAGTTAATGAATTGTTAATTGAGTAAAGATCACTGAAGGTCAAGTTACTTCAGAAACATTACATTTATTTACTAACAGTTTTCATACTCTAATTGTTCAGAAAAGAATTTCATCTGTAAACTGGGTAGCTGGAAAACCTTCAATGCATCTTTGTAATGGCTTTGTTGTTGTTTATTGAGAGGGACTAATTAACTTTGATTATTGCACTAATATTATGGCACTTTGACAGTCCCTCAGATTTATGACTCTGGGAAAATAAACAAATGAAATGCAGGTGCTGGAGCAGAAAGAATAAGTTATTACTGAACTTTAATTACTTGGAGTGTGTAACCAGGAGAGAATTAGTTGATGAATTACAAGAGGCTTAAAATTTACATCAAACTGTAAGCAATCCTAAGGAAAACAAACACAAAAACCTGCCCCAAAGTCAGTTTCTGAAAACAAAGAGACAAAGATTAATTTAATTGATACTATTATTAAAATATTGATATAAAATATTAATTTTTGGCTTATAGGTGTAACTACAAAGCAGGAAGTTGTTACTTGAAAATTCTTTCCTAAAATGCGTTTAAGAAAAGTGAGCAGTCTCTGCATACGGTTCATCTGAATTCTTCATCTGCATCTGCAGCTATCCTGCTATAAAGAGCTTTAAAACATCCACAGTATTTTGTCTCCTTTATTCCTAGCAAAAGCAAAATTATTAGAGGAAATGGGTTTACCTTTGAATTTGGAACCAGTTTTTTTATAATCTTTTAAATTATAGCTGTTTAGGATGTAGTCTTAGCCTCATGTTTATGTTATTCAGGTAGGGTTTTTTTTTTGGCAACAGTTGCGCTCCTGCTCCTACTTGCTTTATGTTTTCTTGTAAATTTTTGAGATTAGGTCTCTAAACTGGACTATCAATACTGTCTTCCTCCAGGATTTTGAGGTAGAAATTCAGTAAACATGTTCCTACTCTTCAACTGAATGTCCAAAGCCCGTTTCTTCTTCTTTGTGTGAACTGTACATTTATAACTAAAAAAAAATTTGCCATATAGTATCCTAGTGTATTTACATGTCATAAATGTACTGTGCCATAAATAAAATTGGTAGTCCTATGATAATGTGTATATTACTAAAAGCAGTGTTTATCCTTCACTGACTTTTCTGTGGGACAAAATACTCTGCCTTGAGTATTTAAACATTAGTACTCAAGGTTTAAAAACCTCAGTAGTCAAGGTTTAAATGCTGGATAAAGGATATTTCCTGTTTCATTGTTTTTGTTGTCAGATGCAAAAGAGACTTCCGCTTATTTTGCAAGAAGACTAATAAAATGTATAAAGAAACAGCTGTTATTATTTCAAGTTTTGATACACTTATCTAATTGATGGTTTGTAATAAGTAAAGGCTGAAATATATACAGAAAAAAAATGTAAGTCTTAAACAAACCCCAACCACCACTGCCAAACCACAACAAAACAGAAAAGTCCCCCAGATGAATCCTACTGTAATGCAGCATTTAAGAGTACTTGGAAAAGCCATCTGGCTTGTTTCCTTACTGAATCTATTTTATGGAATCATAGAACAGTTTGGGCTGGAAAGGACTCTAAGAACATCTAGTTCCAATGCTCCTGTCCAGGCAGGGACACCTTCCACTAGACTAGGTTGCTCCAATCCCCATCCAAGTTGGCCTTGAAGACTGACAGGGGTGGGGCAGCCACAGCTTCTCTGGGCACCATGTGCCAGTGCCTCACCACCCTCATAGAGAAGAACTTCTTCCTTGTATCTAACCTGAACTTCCCCTGTTTAAGTTTGAACCTGTTACCCCTTGTCCTATCACTACAGTCCCTAAGGAAGAGTCCACACCAGCATCCTTATAGGGCCCCTTCAGATACTGGAAGGCTGCTCTGAGGTCTCCATGCAGTCTTCTTGTCTCCAGGTTGAAAAGCCCCAACTTGCTCAGCCTGTCTTCATGTGGGGAGTGTTTCAGCCCCTGATTATCCTCATGGCCCTCCTCTGGGGCCACCATTTTATAAGGACAAAATGGGACAGCTAAATGGAAAAACACAAATGCTAAGATCTTGAGAAAACAGAGGGGATAATGGGAGAAAATAAGGTAGGTGATGTTTGTTTGGGTTTTCTTGTGGGTTTTTTTTTTTGGTTGTTTGGTTGTTTTTTCTTTTCAGATTAGCTGCCGTTATGTTGAAAAACAAAATTCAAACTGATCTTGATTCGCTTCTGGAGACAAATCTGGAAAACTTTTTGTTTTTAAGAAGTTTTGTCTGAAGAGCTATTTTATAGAGAGTTTGAGCCATTTGAGTAGGGATTGTCTGTACAAACTTGCTAATTACTTTAGATAACTGGCATTTGTTTGCAACCTGCAGTATTCCAATTACTTTCTTCCTAAACTGCAGCAGAATTTTGCTAATATTGCAGATAAAGGGAAAATGCCTTATGTAAAGTGTTGTGACAAGTTTCAATGTGACTGGTTTAGCTAGTCTGTCAAATATAATTTTTATAGAGAGGTATAGTAAATTATATTGGTACAATCCAATGTTTTATATAGATACACAGAGAGAAAAAGGAAGAGTGGATAAAGTAGTGGATAAAAAGAGAGATCAGTGTAGTTTTGCGTTTGATATCTTGAAAATGACTGTTGTTCATGCACAATGACATTCAATATCAATTTAAAACTGTTTGATAATTTCTTGCTTGGAAAAGAGGAAATTAGAATTCTAGAGTTATTATTCATTTTAATCAGAAAGAAATTGTCAAACATAAATCTCTCCTTGAGCAGTGAAAAGGACTGAAAGCAGCCAAGAAAAAATGTCAATACTTTCCAAAGGAGGAATGATTGTTCCAAGTCGTAGCTTAATTGACTTTAAGGCTTAATGAAAACCGCTACAGTGCTGTTTGTACACATAGTTGCGCTGACGAACACTGAAATCTATGCTCCAGGAAGAGAAGCTAGGTAATTTATTTTACATTATTATTGATATAATTTTCTAATTGAGTATGAGCAGAATGTGTGGATAAAACCGTGTAGCTCCAGATGTTAGTGGTATTCTCAAGAAAATACTTAAGAATATGAATGAATAAAATATTTCATAAATCACAGCTTCCCTTGCCAAGAAGATCTCATTTATTTATTCCTGTCAAATAGTCTTTGAAGTAGATATTAAAAGATAAATTGTAAGTTTAATATTTCATTAAAAGTATAATGTTTCTTTTGTAATTATTCCTCAGTGTTAAGCCTACAGCCACATCAAAGATTAGATTAAACTGTAAAAAGAAAATTTGGATTTGCTTTATATGTAGAAACTTACAAGGTAAAGATGTGACAAGAGAAGACAGAACGGCTATGAAGAAAACCAACAAAATAAACATGACTCCTTGCTGTATTCCTTTCCCCTAAAGTATTCCCCACCTAAGGAGTGATTTATATTCTTGCTAATGAGGTAACTGAATGAAATTAAAACCTGATAAGTGAGTCTTTGTATTCCAATTGTAATCCTGTGAAGCTCAGAAAGATGAGAAGCAAACTGGGCAGGTTTGCACAGAACGTGGACAACAGTTTTCCTTTGTGTGTTTCCTTGAGGAAGGGGAACTGAGTTCCCAAGTAGTGTTTTGTGTCCACTGGTGTTCTTGGTTTATGATTTTTTGGTATGTGTGTGGAATGCAGAATCGCTCTCTAAAATATTCTTTATTCTCTTGGTACTAATGGATGCTAATCTTGATGCAGAAATATGATTTCCCTTTGTATCTATTGGATGTTAATTTTGTGGGCTTTTTCTGTGAATCACTCAGACTATTAATAAAGGATTTCCATACCAAGACCATGTAAGACTACATTAGAACCAGGAAAATACGTTGTTCTTGGAATTAACATACGTGAATGATTGAGGGAGGACATCTGATCATGATTAGTGGCAGTTTGTCAGTTATGGAAAAATCTGGAGAACGTGTAAAAGATGGCTTTGGAGATGTAATAAGTACTGAATGAAACCACA